GTGGGTGCATTGGAGTTGCAGATTTTGCTGGGAGAGTTTGTTGCTGTAGATTTCAAGCGAAGTCGTTTTACAATGAAATGGAGCGAATCCGAATCAGAGGTTGTCCATTCTGATCCAGCGATCGACATGTCTCAGTCCAATGGTTGTCTATTCTAATCCAGCGACCTACTACCTACTACCTACTACGTGCTACCTACTACCTACTACCTACTACCCACTACCTACTACCTACTACTACTGCTGCTACTATTGCTACTACTACTACCACCACCACGGGGGGGGTGAGGGGTAAGTTCCCCCAGAAGTGGCAGTTGCTTAACTGGACCTGATCAAAACACCAAGTGAAGTCACACGAGTGCGATCGGTGTGCGAGCGGCAGCGATGCACACCTTTTCTATGGCTGAGGATGCAGGTATTGGGCTACTAAGTCTCCAAAATGGATTAGGTCGAAAGCGGACTGAAGAGCTACAAACTAGTCTATACAAGAGAACAGGTGCTACACACGTATAGCGTAGACACGCCTAGGGGACCTAGGACACTACCAAACACAAAACAGACACAAATTTTCTTCGTGTCGAAGCTTACGATATCTAAGATACAAAAGCTTGCATAGCAAAAGGATGCAAATGAATTACACGAGTTCTGACTTCGCAGAACTAGACCGTAGATGCCATTCTGGCTCATCTAGGTTGCGTCAGATAATCTTTACAAATCTACGAAAGGCATACTTGTTGCATCGAATGTTCCGGAATATCGGAAATCTTCTTCATCAAGTTAAGTCGTTAAGTCGAAATCAAATCTGTAGGGCCTTCATTTTAGATGTATCTGGGTCTATCAAAATGCGTTAAGCTCTTAAGTTGTTAGCTGTAGTCCAGCCGGAATATCGGCTTCTCAGAGGTTCCGGTACCCACGGTACCCAGGATTCCAAGACGATGACGAGGAACTGGTATGCCACCATGAACTCGACGCGCCCGAGGACCATTGGTCCGATGGCTGCCAGGAATATCCGGCCCAGCCTTGACGGGCTTGTTTATTCTGCCGAGACCGTTCCGTCAACATTTCGAGTCGTTCGGCATTCTTCTCGCTACGGTTCATGGCGGAGATCTGGCCGCGAACTCTGATCTTGTGTCGACTGGCAAGCGAAAATTTGCACTGAAACGGATGGTGGTAACCCAAATCGCTGCTCTTCAGACACAGATCAAGATGGTTCAGATGCTTAAGGAGTTCGTTGACCTTAATGGTAGTCTCTTTCTGACCGAGGTGGCAACTCGTAACCGACACGTCCACGATCATCCGGAGTATCGGATGTTCTCGCCCGCAACGTGTGCATGTCCTTGCCGTAATTTAAGGCGATCTGCAACAGGCAGTCGCAATCGGCATCCAGACCTTCCAGAGCGGCGAGCTGCTCACTGGCGAGGGTTGAGACCTCTCCCAGTTATAGGTGATGCGCTTACTCGGCTCGCGCTTCTTGTTCGCAGAGACAAGAATCTGGTCAAGGATGGTAAGGACAGCTCCGGTCGCCGGATCGGCGTGTCGATCGGACCGGAAGTTGCGGTTCGTGAACTGATTTGCATCACACACGATGACATCAACCTGGTCTGCCACGGCCGTGATCAAAATCTTCGTGATGGCGTTCTTACCGGCCGTAATACCTGACTGAAAGGCATGGGCATTGATATGAAAGGCGCAAACTCGAAGTTCAGGCATGTGCATGCGCTTGCAGTCATTCAAACTCCCGGTCCGGAATGTCGGACACTCGTGGAACAATGCCTCGCTTCAACATAAGTGGCGCATGCTTGTGCTACAGCAAGAGAGTCAGGGCAGACGATCACCTCCATGTTATCTGCTGGATCAGCACCTTCTTCTAATGCAACTCGGAGGTTCTTTCTTACTCCACGGTCATCGGTGATGCCTCCATCTGTTGATTCATCGACCTTGCCCCAGATCACGCGGAATGTCGCGGCATGGGCTACCCAGGCTAGGCGTTCGCCTTCGAGCTCGATTCGGCGGATGAGTTCCAATCTTGTAGTACCCAAATCGGTGGAACAAACTGCTGCAATTGCAGGTGACTCACCATCCGCCGGGGCAACGACACACAAACACTGATAATGGTTGAAAAGCTCCTTGTGTCGCTCGATGCCGTTGGCCTCCAGAAGGATCGAAATGTGTGCCGTGTTCCTGACAAGATAGTGCGGCAAAACGGCGTACTGATCCGTTTCTGCGAGCTCCCTGGATAGAGGCTGCTTGCCGTTAAAATGAGGCGTACGATTGATATCGCCAAAGTTGAGTAGCAAGACGACGCTGACATGTTCAGTCGATCGAAGTCGTCTTGCCTCTTCGAGATCAAAGTCTCCCTGGTTTGCGCGATATCCCTGCATGTACGAACGGCTTAACTCAACAATCTGTCGCATCTCCTCGCCGGTATATCGGCGGTTGGAGTCGTAAAATCAGCTTGGCCGAATGATGGGATATGGTGCCACATCGGATTGTTCGTCCCAGTGTTGAGCGATCGAGGGAATGCTGCGGCTCCTGTAGGTAGGATGGTTCGTGTAATGGTATTTGCTGACTCCTTCGAGGACAATTCGATCCATCGCTGCATACCCTGTTGAGCCGCCACCGAGAACAAGATCTTTGATTTCTTGCAAACGGTGCAATCGACCGGCATGGCGGTCATCTGGGTGCCAACCCTCGGACTCGGCCGCGAAGGGAATCGTGAAATCAATTTCTGCTGTGATCTCTTCGCGCTCATGCTCACCCAGCGGTGCCGGAATATCGGCGTCTGGGACTGTCGAACAAAGGTAAATGCTATTGCATGGACAATGGTTTTCGACCTCGTGATAGCAGTCAAGGCATGATCCATGTCCGCATGCTCTGCAAAAGAAAAGTACTTCGGAATTCGAACACACAAGGCAGGTCATCTTTTCTGGGCGATGAACGTATTTGGTGTCAGATTTCTGTGCCCTTTTGGCATCGCTGATGACTTCCCGCGCTCGAGAGGTCGCGCGCTTCTTTGAACTTGCTGCGATGTACTTGGTTTCCGGGGTGTCGGAAAACGAAACTCTGCGACCTTCGGATGGAGTGCGGGCGGTTCCTGGTGCATGATCAGCCTTCTTAAGGACAGTTCGAGTAGGTGTTCGTGATCGTGCTCGGGAGGACCATACCCTTGTGCTCTGTACTTCTTCTTTCTTGACTGCAGAGGACGATGAGGCAGCTGCGGAAGGATCGTCCGGCATATCGGACTCTTCCTTTCTCACAGTGCCTTTCTTGACCCAGGTTCCTTTCTGACGGGCTTCTGCGAGGTCATCCAACATGGTTTCATCTAATGCATTTATGACCTGAACATCATCATCATCGTCTTCCGCCGGAATATCGGCGTCGACGTCCATGTCGTCGTCATCATCGACATCGATCAGGTCTTCTCCCTCTTCCTCAGTCGTCTCCGACAATGAGCGTTTCTTGAGACGACGCATATTGGTTGCTTCATCCTTCCATTCGTCGTCGAGGGAGAGAAAGTTCAACCATGTCTCAGTGTGAAGCTTGGACACGCCGTGGAGCTGATGACGATCAAGTTTCTCCTCGGCCTCATTGCGCCATGCTTCAACCTCGCGAATCTTAATATTCTTAAATGCAAGCCTTCTTGTCTCAATCTTGAACTTGTCGTGTCCTTTGGCTACCAGCCTCAGTACCTCACAATAGAGCTGAGAATAAAAACGCAAGTACGGCTCGTCGGAAACTGACATGGTTGGTGTAGAGTCCGGGATATCCCACATCTTAGTTGACACACAGCAGTTGTTTCGGATATCCCATGCAAGACTGAAAAGACCGGCCGGAATAACGGCCTTGGTCAGGAAATATCCATTCTTGCTCAGGCTAAAACCCATGAGCTCTGGATGCTTTTCCAGCGTCGCCTTAGACAAAATGAGTGCCACATTAGCAGTTGGTCGAATGTGTTCATAAGAGACCAAAAGTCCGTCGATCGGCAAAAAGTGGTTCATGTTACGTTGCTTATTGCCGGTGCCGCCTCCAGGAAGGAGGCCATACTGCTGAATCGAACGAACGTGGCGGTACTCGGTCATGTGAACCAGCGTGTCCGGCATATCGGAAAGCTGGCATTTCGGGATCTT